GCAACCTTAAACACTCAAANTGTGGAAGAAACGCACGGAATATATTTTTAACCAATCGATACGCTTTCTACAAGATGTAACAAAAGATGATTCTTTTTTTGTGTTTTTAACTAAAACAATAAAAAAAATTCTCAAAAAAGAAAAAGAAATCTGCATTCCTTTTTTATAGAAAACATGCAAACAACCCATCTCTTACTTAAAGAAAATGTTAATAAAACTTAATAAATCAAACTCTTAAAATTATGAAGAGGTTGGGAAATGATTTTACATATTAAAAACAGAAACATGTTTTCTGCATTATGACACTACATTTATTTACAATCCTTGCTTAAAGGCTGCATTGTTTAATGACTATTCAAAGTTACAATGGTGTAAAAAATAGGTTTGTAACCAGTCCTCGCATTTATGACCATTACACTGTTCTATGTTTCCAATCATCATTAAGACACTTAACTGATATACATTTACAATCATTGCAGTCTGTTGCAATGGCATGATCACCATTCTTGTGCTTTACAACTGGCTTTCAATAAGCATAGTTAATAGAGAATTTGGAAGTAAAATTACAAATTGCGGTCATGTGATGTCATGCTTAACAACCAGTGTGACTTGTTTCCGAACTAAATGGGAAATAACACGGTAAGTTCATCAGGTAATTTTCTGCTTAGATTTACAGTGCTTATTGATGGAATTGCCAGTCCCAATTTTGATTGCTAAGTGAAGACTACCTATATTAAATATCCTACCTGTCCTTTAGGAATTCAAAGGATCTTATACAGAAATTTTATAACCACAGAAATAAGTAGGTGAGTAGGTTGGCTGGGAATGAATAATGGAGCACTCAGTGCATTTGCTGTATAATAATAACACATGTTGGCAGTGTTCAGCTGGAAGGACAGAAACTTAATCTGAGTTGCCCATTGAGACAGAAGTAAGAGAGGGAAACAAGTTGCCCAGTCCCCAATTCTACACTTAACCATTTTTTACATTGCATACACATTTAAGCAAATAATAGTCATTAATAACATTTCCCCCCCCCCCATGGTGAAATTCTGCTCAGCTGACCCAGTATATTATTTGTTTAGTGCTGATCCAGAAGGTAAGAGAAATAGCTGTGGATGTAAATTAGGACAAAGCAAATTTTCTATGGACACCAGAAAGAAGAGTGTCAAATCCGTGTATCTACCACTTTTTGGTGGACGAAGAGGGTGGGTTGGATTTGATGCATTTTGTTCTTTCTCCTTTCTATGTCTTGCCTTGCCTGTTTATATAACTTTTCGCCCAATTTATAACCGTTGTCTGGCACCTCAGAGGTCCGGAAAATCCCCCACCTCTTGGAGGATGCAAAGTCATGTGGTTTGAAACTCCGGAAGATGATCCTTGAGATTTCCTGCTTATCTGTTTCTCAGAGAGGCTGGTACAAAAACATCTTCACATTTGTGGATTGGAGGGAATCCACAATGGGAGGGGTTCCTAAGTCCCTTTATCATGGATTGTATAGCCTGAGGATCCCAGAGCTTTCATTCCTTTTCAATAAAACGTTGCTTTTGAAATACCAGGTTTTCAAGAATCCTTCACTTTTTTGAAGAGGGGGGCGAGGCAGGTCCTTACATAAAGCAGGGTCTGCAATAGTTGTCAACCGGAGAGGAATTTTTTTTTCTCTTCCCTACTGAGGGGATCCTGCAACAATGTCAAAACAGAGCAGTGAACAAGGGGAAGCCGAGTGCTGGGGAGAAATCTCTATTACTACCCTTTTTATTTTTATTATTTATTTATTTTTATTCTTTTTATTCGTATCCATTTCATGTAACCAAAATCATGTTTATACATATATATGTTGTCTAATACATGCTTGATGAAATAAAAGAAATAAAAATAAAATACCCAACCTGATACTGGCTCCATAAGTCCCATAGAAGACATTGAAGCTGTCTTTGAAAGTTCCAAGCCCTTTACATACAGCATGCCGTTTGGTTACAAGTGTATATAACTGAGAATATGGATGCAAAAACACTTGTAACCAAACAATATGCTGTATGTAATGGATGAGAATATTTTTATGTTGTTTTTTTATGTTTAAAAATAAAAGAAAAAAATTGAAGAAAAAAAAAGAAAGTTCCAAGCCCTGATGGTCCTTAGGCGTAGGACAGGGGTCTGCAACCTTAAACATTCTAAGAGCCATTTTGACAGAAAACAACAGGAGCCACGAAACCTGGTTGGGCGTGGCCAACTCAATGTACTTCCCACCCAATCACTTGAAACCCCCCCCCCAGCCACACCTACCCAGGTTTCATGGCTCTCAGTGTTTTCTGTGGGAAATGGGCCTCTCTCTCTTTTTCCCTCTTTCTCTCCCTCCCTCCCTCTCATTTCTGTTTTTCTCTCTTTTTCCTCTCCCTTTCTCTTCTTCCTTTCCTTTCCTTTTTCTTTCATTCTTTCCTTTCTTTCTTTCTTCCTTTACTTCCTTCCCTTTCCCTCTTTCTTTTTCTTGAATATGATAGCAAATCCAAAATAAAGATTAATTTTGGGAAATTGCTTCTCTGTAATCTTTTCATAGTGAACTCTAAGTTGATAGAAGCTGGCAAGATTGTACTAACAGCAATAGCATGTATGTGTATAGGGAAGCCAGGGAAGAAGGTATATATTTAGTGTCACAACCCCTGGTAAGCCCCAATTATGGGAGGAAGCTAAGCTAGTCCATCACGACTGGGTTCGAATCCCAGTAAGAGTGTGGCTAGCTGATGAGAGCTAAATAGCTTGAAATAGATCTATACTAGTCTCCCTTTATTTATTTATCAGCACAAATAAAAAAAATATATAACAAAGNAACCAAGCCCATTAAAATTATATAGACATGGATGCTCAAGTTGCAAAAATATAAATTGAAATAATGAATTACTTAATTTGATATTTAAAAAAATCCCTGCAGCCTTTGAACTTTCTGGTCTTATGGTGGTAGAAAGGGAAAAGTAAATGGAAATATTCTCCCTTTAGGAGGAAGCTGAAGGGGAACCTAAGAATTTACAATCTATGAAAAGCAGAGACAAGGGAAAATATTAAGAAAGCATCCCTTGCTTGATATTCCTATTATCAATAGTAGTTAATAATATAAAAAGACATCAGAGGTTATATTTCTGGAGCTTAACACAGAGCTGGTTTTTGAGTTTTCTAAAACTCATTTTTTTCTAAATCAGAAAAAAACTATAAATTGCTGGATTCTTCTTCTAGTCAAAATTACTTTTGATCTAGAAGTAACAATCTGATCAAACATATAATTTTACACTGCTATCCAGGTCATAGAATGTCAAACTTAAAAGAGAAAGGACCTCATATAGGTGTTGGGAGGAAATACTCCCCTTGGGATTCTTCAAGCCGGGATGCAAAGATGGGTGCTCTGAAGAATAAATTGAATAAAGAAGCCTTTAATGACAAGGAACCTAGAAGAGTAACTTTCAGCAAGATTTCTCGGCTAGCTAGAAAGATTAACATTCAAAGGAGAGTTTATATGCTTTTTCTGATTTTTAGTCTAAAACTGTTTTTGATTATGTTTAATCCTGTGCTTGGTGACATTTGTGTCTATTGATGGGATAATTTTCTCTATTCAGGCTTTGTTGGGAAGGAAAAGGTTAATCCCTGTTCCTGAAAAGAAGCAGAGTTGAGAAATCCTGCTGGCTTCTGTGTGTTTTGTTTTGGTGATTGGCTTAACAAACAGCAGCTGGCTTGTTTTCTTCTGCTTGCTACATTCTAGGGCTAAATGCATTCTTATGGTCAAGCTAATCTCAAGTGTTTCCACTTGAGCTTGCCTGAGGCTGTAAACTCTGGCAATGAGCCAAACAAGGCTTTTCTTTCCTTGTGCTTTTAGTTAAAAGGATTTAAATGGTTTTGATTTAATTGTTTGTATTGTGTTTGCATTATTTGCTGTTTCATGTCTTCTTCCTTCTTCTGGGGAGGGGATCTTCCATCCCCTGAGGATCCAATAAAAATATTAGCAGAAATGTAAAGAGGGGTTTTTTTGTCCTTCAGAGAGACAGCAAAAGTCGTTAATATTTTTGGAAACATTTTAATATTTTTTTAATTTAAGATTTAAAATTTGAAGCTTGCTTTTAAACATACAATATGAAATGTTTGTTTAAAAGAGCAAAATTATTCAGAATTTAAATATATATATGGTTTTTAAAAAAAGCTAATTGAAATAATTTCCATATCTATGCAGGACCTCTGATTATATTTTCTACCATATGCATTAATTGTAGTTAAAAGCCATTTAAAACCACATTCATTTTGCCTTAGAGTGTAAGCTACAAACCACATGCTAAATTCTAAAACTTTAACTATTTAACCTATTTAATTATTGTGCATCTTACTGAAGAAAGAATTCAAAACAATGATTTTACTTTATTGCTTTAATATACTTTTTATTTCAGATATATTTGTATATATTTTATAACATGATTCATAATATTGCGGAATATTTTAAAATAGCTTTTAAATTGATGATATCTATACTAAATAATGAGGATGAGATAAAAGAGATATTAGAGCTTTAATAATTATCCAATATAATAAAAAACAAATACTGGTAGAGCTTCTGACCTTCTGAAAAATGTTTTCATTAAGGCAAGTCTCTTGTTCATTGTTTAGAAAATCTACAATCTACAATATACATACTAAATTTACATTTTGGAAGAGAAGAACAAATACGGATAGAACTGTAATGTGACAAAATTGGGAATCATATGATGTATCTCAAATACTCAGATAACAATGACAAGTCTTTGAATTAATTTAGTAAATAATACATTGATTAAAATATATTTGAAAGATGAAACTTTTTCAAGACTAACCTTATGGAAATATATGGTAACAAAACAACAAAACAACTAGATACCATGTACAGTTCTCTTAAATCTTTCATCATTGTTTGATGAATTCTCTTGAATTTTTGAATGAAAACAAGATTTTCATTCCATTTTATAAATATGATAATAAACATCATGTCCTACCTATTATTAATGGTGGCCCATGCATCATTAATGTTATTGGTCATTATTTGTACTTTTCTGGTGTCATCAGTTGAGTAATCCCGAAGAAGTTTAAAGGCCAAATCATTTGCTACATCCAGATTTATATGCCATTGCCGTAGCTCTTTTGCAAGTTGCTGGAAAGAGAGAAAAATATGAGTACTATTTCAGAAAGGCCTCAGCAAGATACACAGACTGAAAATATACACAAAGCAATTTAAATACTCATAACAGACACATATAGAGGTAGGCCTTGAATTATAACCACAATTAGGACCAATATTTCTATTGCTAAGCCAAGTAGTTGTTAACTGAATCATGTTCAATTTTACAGCCATAAACAAATCACATGGTCATTAAGCTAATCTAGCTTCCCCCACTCACTTTGCTTGTTGGAAGCTAGCCGGGAAGATCACAAATAGTGATTATGTGAGTTGGGAACATTGCAACCTTCATAAATACATGCTAAGCAGCCAAATTTTCATCACATGACTTGTAGGAAGTTAAAACCCACCCCTCTCCTAGAAAAATGAAATGTCCTGGGAAATATTGAAAAGGCAGAATATTATATTTCCCTGGATCAGTAATGGAGAAACATGTTTTTAGGTAGGAAATAGACTCACTCTTAATAGCCCCCACCTTTGTCAATGGAGCATTAAAAGGCCTGAGCTAGTCTACTCTACATAACAAAGATCTCTCCCCTCAACTTCAGTGTGATGGGATTAAGGCATGATAATATTAGTCCTTTACTCATCACACCCCAGGGCACCTGGGAAGAAGCAATGCTCAACCAAACTTGGGAATCAAAACACAACCTTGGAAAGAAGGTGAGTACATCAAAATTTTAATTCTCTACATTTAAATTTTAAAGCATGGAAAGCATGGGAAATGTGTGTATGCCTGTGTGTATGAGAGAGTGGTTTCACCCTTGGAGAGTAGCTGGATTTCATTTCTCTGTTTGGCCTCTTGCTGCACCCCTGCCTGTTGCTAGCAAGGGGGCCATCAGAGTGTGAAACCTTCTGCACATAAGAGGAAACGCTGAGGGCTATAATTGAAGGGTGGGGGAAAATTTGTTGTTGTTGTTCTGTTCAGTGTATCCCAGAGCAAACCCCAATATTTTTAGGTAATTGTGAATTTAGTTAATTAGATAGTTAGATAATTGTGAAGTTGTGAAGTGTAGGAGGGCCATAGTTGTTCACCAAGGGCAGCAAGTCCTCCTGAATGGTCTCT